TTGGTAAAATATTGTTAGTTTTTCTTCTTCATTGTTGGAAAAATAATAATGTGTGTGGGAGTTTCAATACTTCTCGAATAGTTTGACATCCATTTCCATATTTTAATTATTGATATTACTCGTCTTTTGCAGGTATTCATCCTAAACTTCTCCACAAGGTGGTTTTTGGAATGATAAAAAAGTTATTTGCTAAGCTGATGACTACAACTTTTATTCATTGAAAATGATGAATTCAAATGTGCTTTGCTTATGATATATATATATATATATACTAGATAATTTAAGTCCCGTGACACGGATTCAAGATAATTTCACATATTTTGTTAGAAAAATTACATAAATTCACAATTTAAGATATCATAATTCTCTCTTGAATATATTCATATTCCCTCTCAAATACATTTATCCCCTCTCAGTTACATACCTATCTCCTTTCGGATACATTCTTCTCATGTTGCATTGTATCGGACAACCAAGGAATGTATTGGAAAGCAATTAAAAATTTGAGATTTTTGTAATTGAGGAAACTTCCTCGATAGGATGTAATTAATTACCCTCCAAAGATATGAGATTTCTATACTTCATACTATTTTTTTCTTTAGAAAACAACTTCAATATATTACTTAATAATCTATTTCAAATGTTCATACGGCATAAATGTGTCGTTTACAATCCAAATTGAGAAAGTTGAATCCTAAAAGTTCTATGCAGGAAGGAAATAGAGAATTGCGTTAGATTATGAGTTAATGATTTCGTGTTCGATGAATATATAAAATATTGATATCTTTGAAAAAATTCATCAATCTTCATATATTTTCGTAAGTGATATCTATTTTCCACAATGTTATTATCTTCGTTTTGTAATATTTGCACCATAAATTTTGCATCTTATAAAATACTAATCATCGATCAACCAATTCGTAAAGATCGATTCGAAGTCTTTCAGATCTCTATTGCTTCAACTTAAGTATATATTGTGTTTGTAGTTTGCTTTGTCGATGAATTTGTGATACATTTTATTATTGCCTCCGATAAATAGAAATACTTCTATTTATTTTGATTTTAATATTGAAAGTACTAATAAAAAAATTGATTTCTAACTTCACAACAATAAAAAAATCATGAAAGTAACTTTATTTCTATATACAATAACAATATAATTATCGTAATGTTATATTCTAAATATTGAAAGTATGATTTATTTCTAACTCCACAACAATAAAAACAATCATGAAAGCAACTTTATTTCTATATACTATAACAATTATCGTAATGTTATATTCTAAATTACATTAATAATTTTTTTTGATACTACACTCTTAATATCATGTTGTAAAACAAAACTCTAAATCTTACCCCCACAAAATAACAAATATACTTGTACTTTTTTTCAGGTTGTTTTTTCCTAATTTATTTATTTATCAGGTTGTCCATTATTTTAGTCACGAAATTTGATATTTTCGTCAAATTAATTAAAAAATATTGATACATCATTTTAAAGACTTTTAATAATCAAGATACGAATTTAGTGGTCATATTATGTAACATAATATTAAAAATATGTTTACGCAGTAATCCTTTAAAGTATTTTTAGGAACAAAATATTAACTATTCAAACACATTTTGTTTTAATGAATTCAAAATTTTCTTTCTAAAACATGTCAAAACAAGCTTAGCATTTATTATTGTTGGTAAGAAGTTATAACTAATAAAATGGTAAGAAGTTATAACTAATAGAAACTCTTCATTTTAACAAAATTACAATAATATCCTTATGGACCCATAACAAAAGTTAGACATTTATGAATTCTTCTAGATTTTCATTTTGACCAGTAATTATATAATTATTAGTTTACCCTTAAATGATGTTAAAATTACTAAAATGTCATTCGTCACGGTCACAGTAGCCATGTAACTATTAAGACGAGCATCCAAAATATCTAGCCCGACCAAGTACTTTCATGTGATATTTGTTGAAATCATGCACTATCTTAAAAAGTCAAATTAGAAAGAAAATATAGCAACTCCAGCAAAGCTTACATATATATAGTAAGTAATAGTGGTCCAACACAAGGAGCATGTATCTTTGTTTTTGGACCGAGGAAGAACACAAGCATGATATTTCCGTAATAGCAAGGTGAAAGAAGCAGATAAATTTCTGCAGTACAGAGTCGCTAGGTTTGTTTTAGTTCCTTCCTCACAGACATGACATCTAGCACTACTTCAGCAATTGATATTTTCGGCAGACATGAGGTTATTTGATCTACTGCTATTACATCAGTGACTTTATTCAATTATAATTTATAACAGTAATTCTTTGTCACAATACACAAACGTTTTCTTCAATATGATTAAAAATGGTGAAATGTTCCCTGCTATTTACAAACAAAAATTGTCATTTGTAAAATGAGTACTCAACATTGATATGCTAGCAATAATTAAAAACTTGAAATTAGAACATGCATGATATATTTTATATATGGATCAAATCAAGGGAAGTGTTCCACTGTTTTATAGCAAATAGTTGAAGCAGAGATGTCATGTCATTGCACTACTATAGTAAATCTAAGCATTATAAACAATACAGTAACAGATCTCCTTCGGTCAAACTGCACCTATCAAGTTATGAATTTATAGATTAGTTTAACAGAATGGTAGATATACATAATGTTATGACCACAAACGACTTAGGAGATGATATAATACTTTGCATTTGTCCTAGTTTGTTTTCAACATTCATCTTTACCCTTTTTTCAATTTCAAAGGCATAGTTAATAAAAACTTATTACATGAAATAACAGAAAGAAGATGAGGCTACTACATACCAACTCCTTGCTTAATACTATCATGTGATGTATCAACTTTAAGGGATAGCCCCGTAAGTTCATTACCAGCCTCTTTTGTTTGTGGTCATCAAAAAAACATCAGGACCTGTCACATAACCCGTCAAGACAGAAAATTACTACGTATGTGAGAATGTATATAGAAAAAATGTCATGTCGAAATAAATAGAAGTGTAGATAGTTTACCTAGTCTTTGATCTATTTAAATAGTAGAAAATTCTTTCAACAATCATAGTTTCTATCCCCAAATTATAGTCTAAGTATCAGTACTTGGATTCATACCCTCAAATCAAAAAATTAAGATTCTGAAGAATCAGACTTCCAAATTCACATTGATATCGGACACCCACACCCAAATGCGATCAACTTAGGTTGAAAGCAAAAGAGTTCTGCCCTAATATATCTTGCAGACTACAAGAAAACCTTTGTAGTTCTTTCAACAATCGCATTTTCTATCCCCAAATCATAGTCTAAGTATCAGTACCAAGACTAACAAAGAGAGGATGAGCAGTAGGACAATCTTAACTAAGTAATATTTTTTTACCTTAGGCTTCTTAGAGCCTGTCTGAATTGACTTATTTTAAGTGTGTTTTTTAATTAAAATAATTTTAAGCATTTTTAAAATGTTTGGGTGAATCAAAAAAGTGCTTATAAATTAAGGAGGACATTCTTCAAGCTGTATTAGCACTTTACGTTAAACTCAAGATTAAACTAAGAAAACATTACTCCATCAGAGCTTCAATAAATCCACATAGTACAAATCCTTTAGGAATATAGTTTAGGCATTAAAAAGTGAAATTGTAGTCTCATTTTAGATAATTGCCTATATAATTATTTTCAAGTCCACAATAGTGGTCAAACAAAAAACATTGAACAAAGCATAATACTTTTTATTTTACCCTCCCTAGGAGCTCCCACCCATTTTGCTCTCTTGGTGACTCGAACTCGCAACCTTCGGGTTGGAAGTAAAGAAAGTTGTAGCATTCAGTATAAAATATTGTGTGTCTTTATATAATGATAATCCTACAACTTATATACAATGGCGGATCCAGGATTTCTATTAAGGGGGTTCGGAAAAAAAATAGTGCTTAAGATTTGGTCTTGGAAGAACCTCGAGGTGAGTTTTGAACCCCTCAACTACTAAGTCAACCTCTAAGCTTACATTTAGGAGGTTCGAAATCAATATATAGACATAAAAATTCTTTAAAATACCTTAAATATACAACATATTTTTTTATCGAGAGGGTTCGGGTGAACCCCTCGGCAACCTCCAGGTCCACCCCTGCTTATATAAGGATCATTTTCTAACCATTGATTGCCTATTATTAATTCTCATAATTCAATAAAGGGAAAAGGGACGAATATATATATACTTCCAAACTATTGAAAATAGTATATGAATATCCTTTGTTACTATTTGGATACTATGTTCTTGTTGTCCGAAAAGTGGATCATTTGTGTCATTCACTCTTAACAATTGGACACGTGATGTCATCCTATGCATCTTTCCGAAATATTCACTAAATTTAAACCCACAAAAAAAAACATCCAAAATTAAAATGATTTACCCAAATAACCCCCAACCCGCCCATTACTAACACCTAATAATGTACCCAAACAAACTAAACGGGTGGGTGTATATATATATATATATATATATATGTGTGTGTACATGCGCGCATAAGTATATTTCTAAAAATCTATTTATATAATTGAATTGCTTTGATATTTTTTTTTTTCAATTTTTCGTGCTTAAAATCAATCTATATTATGTCCATTTTCAAAATATAAAATCAAACTAAAAAAATCAAATTTTTCTTTGATTTGATTTTTCAATTTTCCACGGACGCCTCCTCTATTCTGAAGTGTTAGGGCGGCATATTCAATTTTGAAAATTATTGGTTATGAATTTATAGATATGCTAAATCATTAACATATCAATTATTGAGATTGATTATTGATCGTTATCAAATTAATCGTTAAGATTACACGAGCATAATTTTCTTCATTGTAAATCATTTATATATCAAAACCATTATTTAACCGTTAATAAATTAATAAAATTGGGACTTGTTATTTTTTTTCCCAAAAAAAGTTAAGGAGTATATTAGATTTTGTCTTTATTTGTTACTATCTTTTTTTTCCAAAAAAGAAAGAAAAAAAAAACTCCATCTTAGGACATTGGGATTGTGGACTCCAAGTTTATCATCTTCATCGACTGGCTAGGGTTCCAAATTTGGCTTCATCTGCAATCTCGCCTAGGGTTCTATTTCAAAATTTTCGGTAATTTTCTTCCTTTTTCTTCTTTACTGCCTCGCTCTGCTCCCTCTCCCTTTTTTCATCTCTCTTGTTTGTTTTCTCTGAATGTTGTTGAACTGTTTTTCCTTATTAATTGACATGTTTTCTTCGCTATCGTATTCCTTTTTCCGTAAATACTTTGATTTATTGCACTTAGGATCTACGAAAACAATGTCTCTACCTACTTGTAGTAGTTAGACTCTAAGCTCCCTAAATCTTACTTGTGTATTACATTGGATATGATGTTGTTGTTGTATTTCTTTATTTGTTTCAGTTATTAATTTAATTGAATATGCAATTTTCAGTTTTTTAAAATATTTTTACCGTAGTTATTTTTTAGTCAAAAATCTGAGCTTTATGGGAGTAAGTCCCTGCTTCAATTGAAGTTAAAATCCTTTTTCCAGTTACTGATTAGTGAAGAAAAGGACTTTGATTCTAATTGAAGTAGGGGGGTTAGTATAAGAAGATTTAGGATTTTTAACTGAGCTTTTTTTGGGGTAGTGACGATAGAGATTTGTGTATGAAAGAGGAAGACACGTAGGCAATTACAGTGAAGTAGAGCAGCAAATAGCATACTTCGTTTACATGAAAAGTGAGAGTTCCTCATATGGAATATGCTTCCGGAGAAATATAATGAGAGAGAAAATGGATTTCTCTAGGTTCAGCATTGCGAATGGTCTGCTTATGGCTTGGTATGTGGCGTCACAATGATCATTTTCCCTAGAAATTACTCTGACGTCTTGAAGAAATAGGAAGATCCTTGATCTTGGGATCTAGATGATTATCGGTGAGGTGGCAGTTGATTCTTCTCATTTGTCCTAGCCTTGGTGGACAGAGTTACATGGTACGTGTTGCTAGTGGGAGGTGGCAGGTATCCCGTGGAATTAGTTGAGGTGTGCGAAAGTTGGCCCAGACACCACGGTCAACAAAAAAGAAAAAAGAAATTATCTGTGAGGTGGAACCTTTCTTAGAAATGTTGTACACAAGGCAAAGGGACATCATGATTTGAAATGTTTGTATACAAGACAACAGTAAATTCATATTACAGTTAAGGGCCCAAAGAAAGGGGGCATCTTTTACTTTGGTGTGCTTCTTGGGGAGTCAACTGCAGAAAATTTGAGATATGTTAGTTAATTGGAGACTTGTATTTCATAGAAGTTTTGGATGACCGCTCCTTGTGGTCTTATGGTCTTATACTTGGAACATTTCAAAAAGTGATTTTTCTAAAGATAGTAAAATTACGACATAACATTCATTATGATTGATTTGTAAAATCTTCCCATCTATATTGTGATGCTTATTTGCTGTTCATATTGTTTCAGGGTTTTGAAATGGAGGATACACCTAAAGCAGAAGATCAGTTGCCTGAGGGAGCCTCAGAAAGTGCGCCTCAAAAGATGACAGAAACCCGTGAGGAGATGCTTTCTAGGCATAGGTATTTTATAAGGCCCTTAGAGGACATGTTGCCTTTGGTTTTGCTCTCCCCTAGTTGTATTTTTAATATTCTCTATATAACCCTCCACATGATTATTACATTGTTCTGCTTATAAGACCAGTCATACTACTTGTATCCCTACTCCCTAGCACGTTTATTCGGAAACACTATCGACTTTGTAAGAAATTGCTCTTATTGATTAAAATATGAGCTTATGGAATGATTATTGACTTTCTATAATGCTGATCCACCTAAAAAGAATTGGAAGTTTTTCTAATTGTTGAAATGAATATTACAAGAACTAATAATTAAGATTGGAAGTCTATATGAGGAGATGACTTATAACAGGCTTCTTGAACCATGCATAGGCTTTCAATTTTTGACCTGTGATAAGTAATTGTGTTACCAATATCACAGATGGCTTGTAATAAGGTTTTCAGTTATTGAATGTCTAAGCGTTGTGTGAAGCACTTGCTTAATTTATCACTCCAAATTAGTTATTGGGAGGTTAATTTTTTTGTTGACATTTCATATTGATGTATGCAGGAAAGAAATCTCTAAGCTACAGGACAAAGAAATTTCTATGAAAAAGGCAGCAGCTAAAGGCAGCAAAGCTGAACAGAAAGCTAAGAAAAAACAAGTGGACGAAGAAGTATCTAAACTTTCTGCAAAGCTCAAAGAAGGGCATGCTGGGGAACTTGCTTCTTTAGGCTACAGTGGTGATAGTAATAATGATAATGGGAAGGAAAAAGGGAATCTTGACACATTGGTGAAGGCCATTGCTGGTGTTTCTGTCAGTAGTCAAACTGACCATTCAAAACCCAGCAAGAGCGTGAAGAGACGTGAGAAAAGAGCTCAACAAGAGGCAGCCAGAGAGCAGAGAATACAAGAAGAGCAGAGTAATATCATAAGTGATCGGGTTATTGAGAATGAAAAGTTAGAAAGAAAGCTTGAGCCCCTTGGATTGACTGTTAACGAAATAAAGCCTGATGGACACTGTCTCTACCGAGCTGTGGAGAATCAGTTGGCTATCCACACTGGTGGTTCATCGCCTTATTCATATCTTGAACTGCGACAGATGGTGGCAGCTTACATGAGGAAACATGCAACTGACTTTCTCCCTTTTTTCCTCTCTGAGAATGCAGAAGAGGGAGAATCGGATGATTCTCTTGTAGGAAGGTTCGAGAATTACTGTAGAGAAGTGGAGTCAACTGCTGCATGGGGAGGACAACTTGAGCTTGGTGCTTTAACTCACGTCTTAAAGAAACATATAATGATATTCTCAGGGTCGTTTCCTGATGTGGAGATGGGAAAGGAATACAAATCCAGCAGTGGGTCTGGCTCTTCAGCTTCCAGTATAATGCTATCTTACCACAAGCATGCTTTTGGGCTTGGTGAGCACTATAACTCACTTATTCCCAGTTCAGCTTGATAGGTTTGATTTATATTATGTGGAACAAATGTTCACAGCAACATGATAATTCAACTGATATCATGACTTACAGCAAACCGATCTAGCAACAGTCTCATTTGTGTCATAAGTTTCGAGTTCAATGCGTTTTGTCTTTCTACAATGTTATTATAGGACTAAATCCTAGCTTATGGATTTGGTTTTCTGTTCTGTGACAACTCATACTTCCTTTCGTTCGTATTCCAAATTAAGAGTTTCTCTGTTTTGTTTCCAGTATGCACATTCATTGTCATTTGTTTGGTTAGTGGGCTGTTATCATGCTTGGTTGCAATGACCAGATATGCTAGACTCATATTTCATCCCTACATATCCAGGTTTTGGTAGAATACCAGGAAACGGTCTGCAGGTTCCTCTTTTCCAATACCTATGCTTTTTACTTGCTCACATCTTGGACATGTGAACTTGTGAGCAATTATATCTCTACTTGATTTGTGTTTCTGTTAGAGGTGTTGGTGTATTTAGCAGCATTCTATCAGAGAGTGAAATAGAACATGAAACTATGCGTAAGCTCCTTTTTTAGGTGCCTGCCTTTTATCTGTTAGGATGTTGTGTCAAGGGAAATTATTAAGGAAGAAGTTAGTGTGCAAACTTGACTAAATGGCAATAGGAAGAAATTTCTCAAGGAGGATCAAAATAAATCAATCCCGGTCTCTTTCTTTTAGTCCTAAAGGAACGAAATTGCCATCTAAGTTAAAAAGACACTTTACCTGTCTTGGCAATGAGTTAGGGTCGGTATAAATTTTGACATTGTTGATAGAATGGCTCCTCGAGGCCAGTTTATCAGCCGCTTTGTTGGCTTCTCTGAAGCAATGATCAGTCTGGATATTGTATTTGTGGACTAGCTTCCTAATTTCTTCAACTGTTTCTCTAATCCTCCAAGGAGTGGACCAAATATTTTGGATACAATTTTGGAGAAGTGAATTGATTTCACTAGTTATAATGCTATGCCCATTGTTTGTGCACCATTTTAGTCCTAAGAGAAATGCACTAGCTTCAACTGCGTTACTGGTTCCATTTCCAAGTGGGAGGATGAATACAGTTGCCGTTTGAGTCTCTCACAATTCCACCTCCGCCACTTGAGTTTCCAACACAGGTCCCATCCGAGTTCATTTTGACAAAGGGTGAAGATGGTCTAATCCACTTGATAGGAACAGAGGGTAGTACCAGCAAAATTGGTTTCCATGAGTTAGAGAAAAATTTCCCAGTTATCTGGATGGTTAATTTATATTTAGCATCTATTCTTAAACCTTAGGATTTATGTTTGTGTTTATTAACCCTATCAATGTGTCAAAGTCATGTGTATATGTCAAACATAAAATGTGCGCTTAATTATAATAATTAAAAATGGTCAAATTTTCCCATGTACCATTAATAATAGTCTACTGCTAGACATGTTAGCACAGACTTTTAGGGCAAAAAATAGAGAGTTCTAGGTTGATTTCTTGAATGGGCAAATTGTTCCGGACATAATTTTTTGTATTAATAATAATGAGTTTTAAAAAAAATCAAAATAAAGAAAGTAGGCGTAATTTATAAATGGAAAAATTACAGAAATCCCGCATTTTAGTTTACTTATTACCATTATCCCCTATAAGTTTTACAAATCTCCAAAATTCCTCATTTTCGCGCATCAGATTAGCGTATTTCGCGCATCAGTTTAATGTATATCGCGCATCAGATTAATGTATCATATATAAAATGTACATCAGATTAGTGTATCATGTATAAAATGTAATGTATCTTACTTAACGATTAATGTATTTCGCGCATCAAATTAATGTATCAGCGAAAAAACAAATGTTGAGAGTGGGATTTGAACCCACGCCCTTTCGGACCAGAACCTTAATCTGGCGCCTTAGACCAACTCGGCCATCTCAACATCTGTTATTATTGAATCCATATAGAGAATTTAGCTTAAGAGTTTGAAGGAGACTGACTTCCCTCAACAGTGATTGGGCCAAGTGAACAGTATAGTCGATTTTGATTAGCCAAATCTAGAATTGAAACAGTGAAATTAGTGTTCGAAGTTAGAAATTTGAACTAAAGTTTGACATATTATTTATGTATGCCAACTTCAAACATTTACGTCTAACTTCCAATTCAAATAATCAATAACTTCCCAATCCCAAAGGAGCATCAACAAATAAGTCCTTTTATCTTTACAAAGTTACACATGCCAAATTCAAAACAAAGTTACCTTAAATAATATGGTAACAATTAATTGACTAGCAAATGCAATTGTATAATTCTACATACAGATTGGATAGGTTACCCACTGTTGGTCTTCTATAGATAGGGCTGAATTAGGCCCCTTCAAGTCACGATTTGTCTTCTAAATGAGTTAGTCTTTATTTTTTGTCCCTTATATGGATTAGTCTTTAATTTATTTTTTCTCAATCGAACATTTGTCTAGCAGAGCATAAATTCTTTAAGGACATGAGACATAACGTGTAAAATATTATGATGCAAAAAAATAAATTTGTATAAGGTAAAAATAGTCAAGACACGTGGCCGTATCAGATTGTGACACGTGGAAAATAGCGAAAGTTATTCAAAGCATAACAAGACACATGATCGAATCATACAGTGACGCGTGAAAGATAATCAAGCATTACATTCGGAGGAAAAGTTAATAGCCAACACTAGTTGTTATGAAACTGACCTATAAATGACATAGAATATTATTTCTTCATTATTAAATGTCATTCAATTAATCAGTTATTATGAATTAATGAGGGATTACTGCTTAACAATTAACTCCTAATATGTCACTCTAAATAGAAATAGTAGGATTACCACGTTGTAACATCATCAAATACTTGTATCTTTCTCTAGAATCATTACTCTAAGCTTTAGTGAAATTTACAAAAAATACAAAAAGATAATTGTCACTAGTAATTGTTGCTACAAATATATATTTAGCGATAATTAAATTATTATCATTAATTAACTATCGCTAAAAATTATTTTTAATGTAATTAATAGAAATGTAATTTTTATTTAACTAATTATAAAATTCAAATTATCATTTTTTATTTATTTATAGGTCCCTTTCACGAGAAATGACATAAATAGTCATTTAACTATAAGAGTAAGTCTAAAATAGTCTCTTAACTATACACTTAACGAATTTAGTCATTAACTATTCAAAAACTTATCAGTTTTGGTCCCTTAACTATACACTTATCGATTTTAGTTCTTTAACTATAAACTTATTGATTTTAGTCCTTTAAGTATTCAGAAACTTATCAGGTTTGTTAAAATGATGAACCAGACTTAGACAAGTTGAGTTATGGACTCGTTGTTTAGTTCATTATGATTCAATTTATCTTAACTCGTTTGGTCATATTTCATGAAGTTAAAATTTAAAATTGTGTTTAAGAAATTATAATTTTTAATTATATATTTGGTTACGCATTGTACTTGAACAATATCTGAAGTTCTGTAAGTAAAAAAACCAAAAAACTAAATAAATCAAAAATTAATCAAAGTCCATTTGTGAAAACATTTGAAAATTATATTTTTAAAATTTAATCAGATAAATATTTAAAAGAATAAAATCTATCAAACTCTAACTCAAAGCAATAAAATACAACTTGGTTAGAAAGAAACTAAATAAGAAAGAGGAACCTAACTAGATGTAACTATCTAGTTGGGAAAGGCTCACATCCCTAGAAATCAGCAGACAATTAAACAAAATAACAGAAAACAATTTACTATCGTACATTTTTCTCTGTTCTAATAATTTGGTTTTTTCTCCATTTAAACAGTACTGAAGAAATGTCAAAAAGCTGGTGACAACGACTCACCAAAAAAGGCCAAATTAGCCAAATCGAATTATTAGTATTAATTATTATATTTTATTTTTACAACTGACAGTATGAGATATTATTTTGGTACAGTCTGGTTTAAATTAAATTCTACTATAAAATAATAATTGTCTAGAAAAGAAAATACATGTTCAATTTCTCACAAGAATCCAAATCTTTGTTAACTAATCTGAACTCAACAGTAATTTCCTCCTCTTTTTTATTTTTTTGTTTTTTTATCTCTTCATAGTTTATCAAGAAATATAACAAAAGCTTCAGCAAAAATTTTTTAAAATAAATTGGTAAAAACTATTTTTTTAAAAAATTTAGAAATTTAATAAATTTATTCAAACATTCAAGTTCATTAACAACGCGGGTGGGTGGTAAAAGGCATAAATTTAAATACTATATTTATAATCTTCATTGGTATATGTACAATAAATCTAATGTATATTGGATCGCTAATAACTTCCTAATTACAAGCGTTTAATTACAAATTTAATTAAAGTAATAATCAAATCATGATACTAAAGTAGACGAGTTATCTCTTTAATATATGAGTTACAATTATATTTATTGAACAAATCGACTGAGTTCGATCAATCTGCAGACGGACTGCTAGGTTCATCCCTAAAGCTCGAAACAAAAGTGAAATATCAAATAAGAAGATTAAATTGTTCTCTCTCACAAAGATATTTAAATACATACAAATAGTATCTTGGATTTAGCCTTCAAGTAACTTTATATAAATTTTCATTGTATTGATTCACTATGTTCAAAATAAATAAGGACTTAATAAAGTTATAATGTAGACTTTTAAAATAAGGTATACATATATGTAATGGGTGACTAATTTTCTTTTTATATTGCAACTTTTTTAATTCATTTGTTTTAGCTTATGTTGCAAATTTAAGGAGACTGGATACTAAAGGATAGAAAAATTAAGCCAAAAAGATAAAGGTTGTAATAAAGTTGCAAAATGTTCCCTTCGTTTTCTTTATTTATTTATCTGATTTTGATTTGAAATAGAATTTTAGCAAAAACACATTACTTTTACAATCTTAAACTAAAAAGATACATAAAATTTATTAAAATATTCTTTATTAAAAAAAAAGAGACTTTTTTAAACACAACAAATTAAAATACGGAGAAATAATTCATGGTAGTTTGAAGATTGACGTATGTGATGATGGAATTAATGGGTAATTAATTAAAGAGCAAAGAGGGAAAAGGAATTGCAGAGGCAGTAATTAATAATTGCACAAATTCACGTGGCAATGTTTCTCATCTCGAAATCTGAGCTTCTTCATTCGATGTTCAATATTCACATTAATGAAATATAATTAATTCGAATTCAATCAATATAAAACTCCATTTAGGGATAGTGTCTCTT